TGATATTAAAATCACTACCATTATTATTTTGTGTAGGGTTATATTTTTCTTCAACAATCTCTTCAATGTTCATGTTACAATTGATGTTACTTTGATTCACGTCATTATATTGTAATGGTTTTCTTTGATTAATATTCTGATTATAATTTTTCCACGTATTATTTTCTCCATTATTGTTGTTATTATAGGATTGATATTGATAACCATATCGATTATTATATAGACTCTGATTTCTTTGATTGTTGTAAGACCAGGAATTGTTTCTCCCATTATAGTTATTGTTTTGCCAAGTACCTCTACCATAATTGTTTGAATTGTTATTGTATTGCCAGGCATTATTTCTATTATAATTGTTGTTGTGCCACATGGAGTTTCTTCCGTAATAGTTTGAATTGTTATTCGAAGATTGGTTATTACGAAAATTTCTAGAGTTACCCTCACTGTCTCGAAAAATATTGTTTTGATAGTTTCGGCTAGCATTATAATTAGGCCTAAAATCATTATAATTCCTCTTCTTAAAATCAAAATTTTCCTTATGAGTGTTACGTCCATTATAATTAAAATTATTTTCTTTAAAATTATTATGTTCATAATCATTAGAATTATTCTCATTATTACTAAAAGTACTTTTGCATGGTATTTTATCCATGTTTAAATTGTAAAATTTTTTATTTTTATCCAATTTTTTATCATTATCTACATAATTTGTATCGCTAACGTCTGGTTTAATATTGCTGCCATCTAACTCCACTCCTAATTTCATCATCTTATCTAAACCTTCGTGCTTATGTTTATTTAACTTCCTTCTAATATTATCATTTAAAGAACAAGTTATTAATTTCTCAATCATTCTTGTATCGTTATCAAAATCGCATTTTTTATGAAGTTTTGAAATTCTAAAATAAAAAGTATGGAAGGACTCCTCGGCACCTTGTACCGCTAAGTTAAAATTCTTTATATTTACATTAATGTCCTCACTTGGAATTAACAGTTTCAATTTACCAAAAACAATATTAAAGTCTTTTAACTGTGCTTTAGAACATATCGACGTAACTTGGTCTACAATCTCAATTGGTAAGCTGCATAGTAGTGTCCTAACTTTAGATGAGTCTGACTCAATATGTCCTTCAAAGTATGTTTCTATTAAGTTAAGATAAGTCTCAGATAATTTTCCTGATAACTTGGGAAATTTAGGAACATATTGAGTGTGTGTAAGAGTTAATTTTTCGTCCATGATATAATTTTATTTGAGTAAAGTAAACTTTCAATATTTAAAATCGTAAAAGCAAAACATTGTAGTTAATTAAAATCAAATTTTAATTTTAATCAAGAGAATATGGTCCACTAAGTTTTAATAGTTTATCTATAAAAATTCTAATTCGAATTCGTAAAGAGGATTTAATCCACTAAGTTTCAATATTATTTGTCTGTGAAAAATTTAATACTAATTCGTGACTAAGTTTTTAGAAAAAAAAATTTATTGATATTCTATAAGTTAAACATTGCGTAAATTTATATTTAATAATGAAATATAGGAAAAATTTCCTATAAATATAATGTCAAATATCTAAAGCATAAAATTTAGAGACATAAATGCATTAATCATTTTTCGTAAAGATTTAAAATAAAAAACAATTTCGTTTGTCCTATTATCACGTACATACGAAAATTCTTTAGATATTCCCATTTCTTTTAACATATTATCAATAATAACGTGTTGAGGTATATCGTAAGTTTTAAAACAAAACATAATATTTTTTATCATATAACTCTTTTATTTATATGTATATATACTCTTTTATTTTTATATATATATATTTTTTTTTACCTTTTATAATTTTGTAAATTTGGATAAAATTTTGACTATCGAAAAGAAAAGTCAAAAAATTTTATTTGTCCTTTATCATCTCCTATATCTAACGACGAATTTGCTTTTTATTTTTACAAAAGAAATCAAGGTAAGGATATTTTTAAATTTTATTTTTTTTTACTTAACAAAAAAACGTACCACCGTAACCGGGGCACCATATAAGAAATACTATTTAAGTTTAAATCAAATTTATTACTAACTATTTTTCATCCAAAAACATTATATATATATATAAAATTTAAAAGTTAATTGAACAACTTAAATAGTTAATATATAAAATAAATAATATTCAAATTTAAATCAATCAACATATAAAATAAATAATATTCAAATTTAAATCAATCAACAATTACAAATTTTTTTATTAAAAAAATAATATATATGCGATCGTCTGGATATTGGTGGAAATTTTTTGATGTAATAATAATTCGAAGTTTCATTACTCAAACGTTTTAAGAATTGTTTATTTTTTTCGTTAATTTGGTCTATTTTAGATTTTGATGCAATAAGAATTTATTTTTAATTCTCCAGAAGAAAATCTTCCTCTCATTTATATATATGTGCATATTCTTACTCTCGTAATATTAAAACTAAATTAATTAAATTTTTAATTGATATATAAATTTATATAGAACTATTTATGTTTTTCCTTAAAATTATATATATCTATATATTATCAGTTTATATATTATGTTTATTCAAATAAATTGCTTAATTATTTCATTTAATAGGCCTAAATTAGTAGCATTCAATATGGCACACGCCTTTTTAAAATTTTTAAGTAATATATTCTATTTTTAATGTAAAATTAAAGAATTGTGAAAATTTTCATAAAAAAAATATAGTCCTAACTTAATAGCATTTAATATAGTACACATACACACCTTTTCCATTTTTAATGTAAAATTAAAGAATTGTGAAAATTTGACAATAAAATATGGAATTCTTAAAACTTTTGAGTAATGAAACTTTTAATTATTATTACAGCAAAAAATTTCCACCCATATCCACACGCTCTTATATTTATTATTAAATAAAAAAAATATTAAAAAAAAGAAATAAAAATATTTAAAAAAAACTAACATTAAATATTTCCCCGAGTTTCAGTGAGTTACCTTCCATTTGAGCGTTATGAAATTTTTTTGATCTTTGATTTCAAGCAAAATCCTTAAATTAATTTTATTAATCATTTTAAAAAATATATAAGTTTAGGCTGATTTTTTCTATTTTTAAATAATCAAAAACCAATTAACGCATAATTTATTTATTTATCATAAAATGACTATAAAAAATATTAATATACTATATTAAACATGCTAAAAATATGTTTAAAAGAACATTTAAAAAAAATAGATAATATTAATATGTTTGTAAATTAAAATTATATGCGATCCCCCTTAAATAATCATTAATCGGGCTATTTACATAGTCAGATACAATTAATATAATATTTTCAGCTGTATTCCGATACACTTTTCTTGATATCGAGGGTTGTATCAGAAATATATTGTTCAATATTTGCTTCGGCTAACGATTGTTTTAAGCGTAGAGCATCTAAAAATTTCCAAATAGAGGGAGTGCGATGATAGGAGAGATGAGAATGCTCTGTGCCAACCTTTAAAAAATAATAGAAAAGTAAATTGTAATAATGATCAAAAATTAGAAAGTTAAAAAAAAAAATTACATTCAACTGCATTATTTGTTTTTGGGATTCCCTACAACCAGCGTCTACATGGCCGAGGGGGGGGGGGGGTAGGAGACAAATGCCTTCAAAATATATTGGCATTTTTGGGGGTTGATATTGATTTTTTGGGGTAATTTATTTGAATTATAATCTTTTTAAATCCATTAATTGATACGATTATGATGGTTATTGTTGATTTTCTGACAAATGTCAATTAAAGTAAAGATATATGTCAATTAATAAATTATATAAACTTTATTTGTCAACCATTTTCATTTACCATTTTATCAAGTTAATATTTACACATTTCCTATTTGGTACTTTTCTTAGAGGTTAATATATTTATATTATGTTTTTTAATAAATTTCTAGAGCAGGATAAATTTTAGTTAATTTTTGAGACATGCTTAAAAACATTTATATCAGCAAGCAAAGAATAATAAAAAACATAATATGTAAAAAATTATATTATAATAATAATTATTTCTTTCTAGATGCCAAGTAACAGAACCTTATTTAAGGTAAAGTGTAATTACCTTAACTGTAAAACTTCTAAAATAAGAAGTGACGACAAGATACATGAACATTATAAACATAAACATCAACATCCTCATGTCAAGCCAACTGATATGTACAAAGGTAGCCATCAAAAGAGATAATAATAATTGGATATCCTTAAATTGTGATATTCCATATAATATCACAAATGGAGTTGAAACCCAGTTGCAAAAAAAGACAATAACATCTTACTTCCAAAAAGTAATATTTTTTATTTATTATTGTAACTAAAGACAATAAATATTATTGAAAATATACCTTAAATTTGTGAATTAATAGAAACTGATTTTTATTTAAAATTTTACCAGAATAATATTAATATTAAAGTAGTCAGGGTATAGAGAATATAAATTATATATTTTATTATTAAATATTTTTTTTAACTGTTTATCACACTATTTTTATATCTATATATACTTTATAAAGTTCAATTTAGCAATATGTTTAATAGGTTAATAATAAAAATTTAAAACCAAAGTATTAAAAAAACTTATTAAGTTAATATAATGTAGTTTTTATATTAATCTGCATCTATCATGCCTATGAATCTTTCAAGTATATTTTCAAAATGTTTTAACATGATCTTCCTAACAAAGACATTTTATTAATGTTTATGATTAACACGTTCAAAATTTGTGAATTCCCTTTGTATTCTACATTCACTGCTGTACCTATCACTTGTATCATCTTGCCATTGTAACCTGATAACTTTATGTTGGACTTCATAATATTTTTAATGCCTGTTTTCTCAATCATGTATTCTTGTAGAATTAAAACATTTATTAAAAACTTAATTATAATGTAGTTAAGATAAAAATTACCATTTGGCTAAAATTTTATTAAAAATATAGTTTTTCATAAGGAAAGAAATTAAACTCCTCTTTATTTATAGAAAATCTCAGTTATTGAAGATTCACAAATTGTATTATCTCCTCATCCAATCCCCAGTTCCAGTGAAGCGCTTACTTTGCATGATGAGGTATTTAAAATACGAATTATATGATAAATTTTGAAGGAAATAAATTATGATTATGAGGTTATTCAAATATTTCCAACATTTATTAAAAACTTAATTATAATGAAGTTAAACAAAAAATTACCATTTGGCTAAAATTTTATTAAAAATATAGTTTTTCATAAGGAAAGAAATTAAACTCCTCTTTAATTATAGAAAATCTCAGTTATTGAAGATTCACAAATTGTAATATCTCCTCATCCAATCCCCAGTTCTAGTGAGGCGCTTACTTTGCATTAGGTATTTTATTTAAATAAAATTTATATAATAACTTTTGAAGGGAATAAATTATGAGGATATTCAAAGTCCAAGTCTTATTCAGCTATACAAAAAGAAGGAACAAATGACCCATTTCACTTCAAATTATTTAGGATGACAAATATTTTGATTAATTTCATAATTGCTGTAGGCCCTTGTCAGCCATGTACAAATAAATTTCAATATCCTGTTACTCTCAAGAGGTTTTAAATAATATTTAATTTTCATTAATTTTTACCCATCCATTTTCTATACCAGTTTTTTTTTTATTACTTTTTAAACAGGAGCATGAATATAACCTATTATAGAAAGGTTAATATTGATGGTTCCCTCAACCCCAGAAATTGGCTATCTTATAGCACTACTTTAGACAAAGTCTTTTGTCTATATTGTATTATGTTTAATGGCCCTAAGTCCAATATTTTTAGACGCAATTTGGGGTAAATAATTGGAAAAACATAAAGCGTGACTTAGAGAGACACGAAGCATCTTCTCTTCATAAAGATTGTGAATATGCAAACATGACTTGGCTTGCAAATAAACGCATTCAAGATCATTTGCTATCAAATAAGCTTGATATAATCATGGGAAATCCTAATATAGTTCATAATATTATCGATGCCATTATGTACCTTATAAATGTAATATAGCCTTTTGGGGTTCTAATTTGAATGAAGGTGATTTTATGTGTCTCATAAAATTAATGGCAAAAACGGTTCCAACTTTACGTGCATACATGGATAACAACGAAAAATTGCGGAGAAAAAAATCAGATAAAATTTTAAGACCTTATATAAATTTATTGTCATATGGCCACGTGAAAAAAATAACTGAAATTATCAAGATAAAAATAACAAAAAGCATTATTCAAAAAATTAAAGAGAATCGTGCCTATAGCATCATATTAGATGGAACATATGATGTGTCTAAAAAAGAGCATAGCTTTGCTTGTACGGTATATAGAAGATGATCTGCATCCACATCCTGTAGAAAGGATCATACATGTTTTTACAACATCAGAAACCAGTGGGAAAAATATAAAGAAACATTTCTAAGTTTAATGATCTTGGTCTTCCTCTTGATTATTTGGTTGGACAAAGTATGGATGGTGCAGGGAATATGAGAGGAGTATACAAAGGAATGCAGGCTTTAATATTGAAAGAAGCTCCAAAAGCCATCTATATTTGGTGCCATGCACATCGGCTAAATTTAGTAGTTGCTCATGTTTGTGTAGATGAGTTATATAATTTTATGAATGGAGTTAGACGTCATGGTGTGTTTGTTAAATATCGAATGAGAAAGTCCAAGAAATCTCTTAAAAGAATTAAAAACACTACAAGGTAAATAAAATATTTTTAATGAAACTTATATATTTTCAGAAATTGGTTATCATCCTACAAATCTGTAGAAACCTTTTTAGATGTTTATGAACATATTTTAGCATCATTAGTTGTATTAAAAAATTCTAATGACCCAAGCACCTCTTCCATTGCCGATGGATTATTATCAAGAATTAAGGATGAAAATTTTATATTAAGTCTATTTATTTTGAAAGAAATATTGAAATGTACACATGAGGCTTGTATTGAGATGCAGGCAGTTGGTAATGATTTGGCTATGGTAACCAAATTAATAAAACATACAAAAAATAAATTACAAAGACTAAAAGGTTAATATTAGTTACTATTTCTATAAATTTAAAATATAGCTAATGGAGACAATATATTTTTAAAATTACATTCCTTATCTAATAGTTTTTTGAAAAAAAATAATGTAATAACTGATTTGTATAATATGAAATCAATATTCAAATTGGATCAAACAGAATTCAATAATTATGTTGAACAAAAAAAACAAGTTGAATAAATTAAAAAATTTAAATTATTATTTATTGTTATAGATATAGAACGGAAATATTTTTCCCTGTGATAAATGCAATAATTAACCACCTAAATGATCGATTTAATTATGATTGTTTAAATTTTTTATCACAAATATCCATTTTTACTCCCGCTGGAATTATGGATAATGAAAAAATAGAAGGATGGCATATATCCGAAATTTGTCATACTTATCAATTGGATGTCCAAAACATTGTTGATGAATATAATGATTTTCGCTCTTTATATTTGGAGTATCAATCAATCATTTTTGAAGATCTTTTGAAAGTTTAAAAGAATGACGCGTTATATATCGATGAAAGTAATTTATTGATATTTTATTTGTAATTGTGTATAATTAAGGGTATTGCAAACGATCAAACTACCGAAGAAAATATCAACAGCGAAATCATGACCAAAATAAAAAAATAGATAAAATATTCTTTTATATTACCATACCGACTTTTAAATCAATTAAATTCTTATTCTAATTTAAATTTATTATATAAATATTTATTGACCCTTCCTACAACTTCCTGTTCAGCCGAAAGAGCCATGAGTAAAGTAAAAATAAACAAAACTCGAATGCGGAATAAAATTTCGGACCATTTTTAGAAAATTTACTGTTAATATCCAGCGAAATTGATGTTTTTGAAAAATTTACAATTGATTGATGAGTTTGTAAAAGCCCATAAAAGTCATCAAATACGTCATCCACGGGAACAAATGCAAGAGAGAGCATTTGTCTAATTTTTATTGACCATTCATTTCTCTTATCTCTATCTAAATAACATGCTAGCAACTCGCTATCATTTTGTATGTCTCCAAATCGCTTGGGTCATATGAAAAAAAACACCCTCTTACAGTTATTAATGGAAATGAGAGAGTAAAGGCATTTATTTCCGCCTGCTCAAAATCGATCATTACCGATATAGGATTTAGATTATTTTGCAATCTTTTTATCTCATCCAAGACCCTTATATATGTAGTCTGGGTTTTATTCGGTAATAGCGCAAAAATTGTGGGTACAACCGTTTTATGATATAAGACATGGAGGGTCCAAAGTTGGTTAAAAATTAAGGGCGTTGTCTTAATCGTGCCATCTGCATACCAGTGACTGCTTTCCGCATCAATGTAAGGTTTTGGGCTGTGGCGAATCAAAATTCTTGGTAACTCCGGTTGCAAATGCTTGCTATCATATTGAAGGAATGGCAACCCCGAACATGTTATTTTATAGATATCGGGTAAATCTAGATCATAACTGTTCGTCGGGTTAGGTAAAGGAGAATCTATAAGCGTCTAGCCCGCGGAATAGTCCGTTTTATCGATGCGATGGGTGGAAGGGCAGCATGAAGGAATGGGAAACCCCCTGCTAATGCAATGCTTATAATTTTTTGAGGTGTATCAGTAACCTCAATGGCACCTTTTTTGAATGTTATTTAGGCAATTGGTTTTTAAGATCTCAGGACCATCTAACACATGATTATGCTTATCTATATGAAGAATTACTTCTTCATCTAATGTGTGGCACCGGCCTTTGCAACGGGAAGGTCTATCTTCCAATAATTTATAAG